TTGATCCGAGCAGACGAATTGTCAGTGGCTGCTGCTGACGATGGGCTGAGTCCGGGTTGGGATTGTGAAGCTGCGCGAACATGCAGACTCGCACCTGCAACTTTGGCGCATGGGCGATCTGCCCGCGACCGACTGAAGAGTAGGACTGAATGCACGCATGACATGGTCAGGGCTTCTGGCGTCCGTGCCAGTCTTCCTCGAGTACGGTAGGCAACGGTTGTCATGCCGAAGAGGGCATGGAACCGACTCACGTTTCTGTCAGTTGACGTCCGACCGAGGATCATGTACGAGCTCCTCGTGTTTCGTCCAGACCGTCAGCTTCGAGCTGATCGAGTCCACGATCCGCAAAGAAAGACATCGCGTCGTTGGTTCAAAGGCCATTTTCGCCAGCGGAAGAGGCAAAAGAAGCGCATTTTGGCCAGTTTTATACCATTTTACTCATCTTTAACATCGAACTTTCGCTCGTTTTGCCGGATGCTTTGCTGTTGGGCTTGACGATGTCGCTTCTGCTCGCTTATGTTTGCCGCCCAAGGCTGGCCCACAACTCGAAGCAAATGCCATTTTCTTCATCAAGTTAAAGGTTCGTGTCGTGGCTTCTCTTCCCGAGAGTGTTTGGCTTGTCCTCATGTGGGTGAATATTGGCCAATCATCTCGACGACCGTCGCTAGGGCCTAATATTCGCTTTAGGCCCGTAGCAAAGTGACCCTTTTCCGCCTCAAAACCGGTGTCAGGCCTGGATTCTTTCGTGAGTGAGTAGGTTTTCGAGGCTACCAGTAAATCAGTAATATGAGAGGTATTTACCCAATTTCGTTTGAGTTGATGAAGGAGTGGTGGTTGATTTTTCCCAAAAATGTGTTACCGTGCAGAATGGACTGCAGTTTCGACCTCGCCTAGGTCATATCAACACCCCACTTGGGGTTGAATTTCGACCAGGTCCCATTCTGTCGTGGGATTGTCGACGAAGCAAACTTATATTTGCTATAGCAACCGACGGGATTAGTGACTGTGGAAAAAAGTAGTGTCGTCGATTGCTATAGCAAGTATAGGTTTGCTGCATCGACAATCACGACGCAGAATGTGATATGGAAATTCACATCTGCTCTCTGACCAAAGAGCACTCGTGGCAATGTGGCGTAGCGGTGCACTGTCATGGTTCAACTTGCGCTTGGGGTGTTGGTAGGACCTATGCGAGGTCGAAACTGCAGCCCACTTTAGTGTGAATGGGAACGCCCTTTTGGGGAAGCAAAGCTATGTGAAATTTGATAGAAACGTCGGTTCTACTCACATTTGTGTGGGAAAATTGAAATACCAGTTCTTCGTCACTTTAAACGAAATAAGGTGAAAACAATTGACATGTCAGACCTGTCTGGAACCGAATGAACGAAAGAGTCGGTTCTGGCTCGGTTCCAAACCAACATCTTGACCAAGGATACGGAGTTGATAGTGACAAACTATTGATCCTGCGCGGTGACTGGCTACAGTAAACAATCGACAAGTCCGCCAAACATGCACATGTTAGCCTCATCTTCGCTACTTGCTTTCCACCTCACATGCTCATTCTGCGTCAAGCCGGTTTACGACGCAAATCGATCGCTGTATCTGAGCCGGCGCATCTTCTCAGGCACATCGAGAACTAAGCATGCATCAGAGTTCGGGAGCACTTCTGTTGAACTTATCGGCCAAGTCGACCGTGACCAGTTTCAGCGGAAAGAGTTAACTTTCGTGGTTGCACTAAGACACAAAGTCGTTGGCATGCCGGAAGTCGAGCTGGGCTTCGGAGCAGGCTCTGTGAAATTCACCAAACCTAAATAAGTACAGGCAAGTTGACGAAATTCCGATTTAAACTGTGTCAATAGGCAGATTTATTGTTGAGTTGACGCCAAAATATTTGATTCTGGTGCATATTGCCTTGGAGACAGCGTCAGCAAGAATATTCCTGTAGAGCCAATCAACCGTTGGTCAAGAGGAATGTAGCCTCGTCTTCTGGTGGGATGGAGCTTCGAAACTGTTCTTCAAACTCTTTCTCTCTGAATCAAAGTAAGCTCAGCAATTACGAGCCGGGGATTCGTCGAAAGCCCAGCTTGCTTGGCACGAAGAATTGATGCAGCTACTTGATTTCTAGCAAACAATTTGCTCCTAAGCAGACAATGCAGCCTGACACCTTGGCTACAAGATTTAAGTACGGCCAAGAGACGTCAGGTGGATACGGTGGTTGTGGAAAAGGGACGAAGCCAGGTAGGCCGGGCGACTAATTAATGGTCGAAAGGGTGTGTCCGCCAGTTTGGTCGTAGCCTCTTTTGGCGGCATAGAAATGGCCGAGTTGTCAAGGCGACCTTGATGCAATGGACTTGGCCACAGCCTCCACCACAATATTTGGGATACCATCTGGCGTCGGAGCTGGCGTGGACTCGGTGAAGCAGTCCCCGAGCAAGTGGAGAAACATGTTCCACACGCTACTGGACGTTAGTATTGTGGTAGTTCTTCCACGAGGCAAATACTGTTCGCTGTCGAGTAGTAAAGACAAGAGCCTAGGCTGGAAGTCGTTTTATGTTGCAGAAGGAATAACATCATCATCATCACCAGCAGTGGGACAAATTATCGCTGATGACTGTTAAAGCAGGAGCATTTGCGTGAAGCGGCAAGATTGGGAGCCGACTTTGAAGCCTATAGATGTTCTGAGGGATAGGCTCAAGTGTGAGACAAAATGGGCAGAAGAGCTGGAAAATGAACAACCT